GTCCGCAGGCCTATGTTTTAATCCACTGAGCCAAACTGGTTTTGGCAAAAAACATATTTTTTTAAAAAAATTTCTGAGATACAGTGTATTTCGTCTTCTCAATCTACTTGAGAAATTCATTAAAAGCAGGAAGCAGAACAGGGGTCTAGGGCCTCAGGATTAAAGATCTAGAGATCAAATCTTTTAAAGACCTTTGAATTCTTCACTTATCAAGCCTAGATTGTAGCAAAGTATGGCTTGACTACTGGTAACTTTAATTACTTAATGAGGCTTGGGAGAATCTCAGAGTTTATGCAGGGAATTCTGGCCCCTCAGGAGACTGAGTTCCAGTATCTGTTTAGTGAGATAAGGTTTGCCAGTGGCTAAATCATTAAGGTAATGGCCAGATTTTTACTAGGGGTTTATGAGAGAAGAGGGGACCCTCTCTCTTTGCTTAGTTTGTAAAGTGAAGGATAGAGGGAGTTACTGTTTAATGGGTTTCGGGTTTCAGTTTGGAAAGATGAAAAAGTTCTAGAGATTGGTAGCACAACAATGTAAATATAATAAACACTACTGAACTGTATGCACACTTAAAATGGTTAAAATGGTAAATTTTGTGTTATGTGTATCCTACCGTAATTAAAGAGAAATAGAAAAAAGAATGCCCAGACATTATTATAGAGTTCAACCTATCTTTCTTTGACCTTCTTGTTTGTCTTCGACATTTTTGGAGAATTACACTAATGTCTCAATAGAAACAGTGCTTGTACTTTTATTCCCATGAGCTTACCTGGTTTTTATAACTACCTTGTAAAAGAGTAACAGCAGGCATAGATAAGGAGACAAACTTAGAGAGGTGGTGTGGTTGTTTGAGGTTATAGAGCTGGGAAATGGTACAAATAGTACATTTCTCTTTGTTTTTCTTTAAAACATTACTTTTGTGTGTAAGATTTATATAAATCAGTTTTTCATCATAAAAGTAAGATGAAAAGATTTTAAATAATTTGTAAAGAGGAGGAAAAAAGTCACCAATTATCTCTCTACCCTACATAAATAAGTCAGTATAAATTGTGAATGCTCAGAGGTTAGGAAACAAATCCTCCAGGTAAATGTGGAAAATGGACTGGGAGTTTGAGGTCTGCTCATCTGGGACCACAGTTTGAGTGGAATTAGCACGTACAGGAGAGCTTGAATTGTAGCTCTTGGGGCAAAGGGGCCCTGGGCTTCTGAACAAAGTGGAATGTTCTCTGGATGCACTTAGCAAAGACTCTAAAATGCCGATTTCCATCTGCTCCCTGGATTCCTCTCTTCCCTCATTAACACGTACCCTCACTTTGTCATAAATAATAAACTTCTGACATGCTGACCATCTTATAGGGAATATAACCTTTATGCCTTTGTCCATCCTGCACACATTGTGAAATGGGAGGGCGTTTACTGGTAAAAGTTGAGGCACTGGACTCAGGGAAGACAGATCACTTTCTGAATGAAGATCTACCTCACAGCGAGAGAAAGGAAGCACTGACTTCCGGTGTCCAGTTCAGGAATTTTCATTATATCACATCAGGCTTGAGGAGAATGCATGCTGATGAGCCTCTTGCAAGATACTTGTCTGTTTTCAAATAGCCATACTCTTCATTCTGATCTGATTGGACAGGGGTGGTGGGGGCTGGGCAGAAGTGTTTGGACTTCTTTGGTAGATATGGGCAGCCACTTTAGGTTCTTAACTTAAGGAGGCAGAGTGATTAAACATCTGTTTTAGGAAGAGCAGTGTGAGAGTGGTGTGCAGGATGAAGGAAAGCAAAATTAGTATTGCTTGGGAACTTGTTGGGCCTTTCCCAGGCCTACTGAGTCAGGGATGCTGGTGGTGGGGCTCAGCGCTGCATTGGGTTGTAACAAGCCCTTCGGGTAAATGTTTTGCACGCTGAAGTTTGAGAACCATGGAATCAAAGCAGCACGGTCGGGAAGGCATTCTTGACTGGAAGTGAGAAGGGTCTCAGTTAATGTGATGGCAGTTGACATGGGGAGAACTGACTCCCAGAAATGCTGGAAGGGCCCGCTGAGCTTCAACTTGCTCTCTTTGTCATTCCGTGCAAAACACCTGGTAGCACTGGTATTCTGGTGATATGGGCAGTGATTCTTAACTTCATGTGAACATCTTAGTAAACTGCTTAGAAGGATTGGGTTTACTGTGTTTGAAGGTGCTGAGCTCCCACTTTTGTTTATCCCTGTAAGTTGGGCATCTAAGTGGGTCCTCCTGGTGATGGTGGTCTGCTGAGATGCAGGGGCGATTGTCCTTTGGCAAGGGGACCAGTATTTGTTCACATCCCATCTCCTTGTAATAAAAGCTGAGCTGTAAGCTGAGAGAAGTGGTGGGAGAGAAGAGTAAGCGAACTGGGTGGGAGGTGGTAAAACTGGAAAATCTAATAGTTGAAGGGGTGATTAGAAAGGGAACGGGGATTTCTGAGCTAAGAATTTCTTTTCTTAGAATAAAACCCACCTTTCTGTCTCTGATTTCTGGTTTCTGCCTGGATGATGTCCTCATCTTCTCTCACTCTGGGCCTTGCTTATTATATTCCCAGTTTAGAATCTTCCCTTCTCCCTTCAACTTAGATATTCCCATGTGTATGTTACAGCACTCAGAGGTCACCCTTTTGGAGAATTTTCCATGATCATCCTTTTAATGGTGGGCCTTACCACCCATCTTCCCAAACCAGTTTCTTGCCCAGACTGTATAACCCAGCCTGAGATGATCTTAGCTGCAGGTCTTCTTGTTTAAGTTTGCATCCTACTCCAGGAGACTGGAAGCTATTTTAGAGCCCTGCATCTTGTGTGTTTCTTTAATTGTTATTTTCCAGCCTCTACAAGGGTGACTGGCACATACATAGAGCTCCATAAATATTAGTTAAATGAATTCTAGGCGGAGATCTGACTGGGGTGAGAGGTAGGGGTAGGAGATGGGTGAAATGTGTCTGTAGACACCAGGTAGCAAATGACAGCTCAGTTGGACTGGACATGGAGGTGAAACAAGGTAAATCCTAGAGATGTTCAGGAAATAACCCTGACCAAACATGGTGATGGACTGAAGGGAGGTATCAAGCAACTGTCTTATGAAAATCTTCCTGAGAGAGGTTTATGAACTCTTAGCATTCTTCTTTGGCCTCTATAGTTTGGATATTCAAGAGCAAATAGTTCTGAATTTTTCAGGGTTCGTCAGAGAATCAGGACCAATAGGATATATAGATGAGGAGACTTGTCTTGGGAATTGGCTCATGTAAATATGGAGTCCTGGAAGTCCCACAATCTGCTCTTTGTGAGCTGCGGAACCAGCAAAGCCAGTGGTGCAGTTCATTCGGGTCTGTAGGATCGAGAACCAGGAGCTCAAGAGAGCAGAATGTGAATGGCCCAGCTCAAACAGAGAGCATACGCATCCACTCTTCCTCTGCTTTTTGTTCTATTTGGGCCCTCTGTGGATTGGATGATGCCTACCCACACTGGGAAGGGCCCTCTGCTTTACTCAATTCAACACTAGTCTATTCTAGAAACAGCCTTCACAGACACATCCAGAAATAGTGTCTTACCAGCTATCTGGACATTCCTTTAGTCCAGTCAAGTTGACATATAAAATTAACCATCACAAATTTTCAGCTCTTCAGCTACCCCTCCTACACCACCTTCAAGCTCTAGGTGTGAGGAATTCTGTGTTCCTACCCAGATCAGCTTTACCTAGCCACCCACCCACCCACCAGCTCAACAATATTGAATGAGTATGATCTATGTTCTAGATCCCACTGAGGATACTGGTGGCACAGCAGTGACTAGAACAACCTCCTTGCATTTATGTTCTAGAGAAGGAAGACAGACAAAGACAAACATGTCCAAAACGCTGCATGGGATACTGGGATGGTAGTAAGTGGTGTGGAGTGAAAAAACAGACAGTATGGGTGGGGTCACTGAGGCAGTTCTGAGTTGATGCTTCTTGAGCTAAGATCTGAATAACAGGGAGGAACCAGCCATGAGAAGTTTTGAAGGCATAGGATCATTTCCTATAGAACCTTCAGAATCCATTTCTGGTAGATGAGTAACTGGTAAGATTTTGTTTTCATGCTTGAAAGGATGAATTTGGAGAGGTTGGCGGCAACCTCTTTAAGTACTTTGAAATAAATTGTACTTCTCCTTTGCTTACTTATTGATATTTCAATAATAAATCATTAGCAGATAATTTTCAAATAGTGTATAATCATGATTCTCATAGAGATACAGAAATCACTGCCTTTGAAAGACTTTACAAACTTATTAATCAATGAAGGAACTAGGCAGATGTTATCATAGCAGATTCAAAGGAGAAATGAAGTCAGCACAAATTTATATGGACTAAAAAGTGTTGAAATGAATGTGTAAATTCAGAACAACTAGTTTCTTTTACACTGGAGGGAAGTCAGTTGAACCTCTACTGGCCAGGACTATATTGATATGTCTAAGACAACAAATAGTTTGCATGGCTATCAATTACTTACAATTCACAGAGTTGTAAGAAAACTCCCATAAAATCAAAAGCAAGTAACTAGGAGGGTCTCCCTTAGACAATTCAGTTTTCCACTGAAGCACATTTCTCCCCTTTATATAATCTAACAAAAACAAATAACCTTGGCCTCTCCCATGAAAAAAGGTAGTTCTTTTACTTGTGGTAGACTGATGGGGGGAGGAGGGAGAGGTTAGGGCATTACTATCATTCACTGCTCGTAATGAGCCATATTTGCCATTAACTCCATCCTCACAATGGCCCCATGAAGTAGAGTGTGGTGTCCCATTTTACAGCTGAGAAAGTCAGCTCCCAGAGGTTCAAGACACTGCTAGTAAGTGGCAGAGTTAGAATTTTAGCCTATTTGTATGCAAAGTACGAACACACACACACACACACACACACACACACACACACTCCCTGAGACAGCTTGCTAATAGTAAAAATTATATATATATAATTTTTTTTGTTTTTTGTTTTTTCCCCCCTTGATCTTTAGGTCACCAGCAACCAAGATGGATCTCAAGAATGGCCTGGAAGAATGTGAAGTGGCACTGAAATTATTTCTGAATAACAAATTTAAAGATGCCTTAGAATTGCTTCAACCATGGTAATTAACTTTATTTCTTTTAGGTAAAATATATTTTTTCACATGTTTTTGGTGACACTCATGTCTTTTATGTCATACTTGTCAGTTAATTTATTTGCATTTCCACCTAAATATTTGAGGCCTTTTAACATCCAGTTAAGAAATCTGTCTTTTCAACTTTACTCAGTAGAAAATTTCTGATTTTTTTTATCATCCTTTAATTTCTATACTTGTTTAAATGGTGTTATTTATGTAGTTTTGTAGAGCTCTATTTTGCCTTCATCACTGAACTATTTTTATGGATGTTCCTCTTAACCTTAAATATAATGGAGAAGAGTTTCCTTTGAATTGGGCAAGGGAAGAACAAGAAAATGCTAATCGCAAGTGCTAACATTTTTTTTTTTAATTTTTATTTTTTAAAAATATATTTTATTGATATTTTACCGAGAGGAAGGGAGAGAGATAGAGAGCTAGAAACGTCGATGAAAGAGAAACATCAACCAGCTGCCTCTGACTGGAATCGAACCTGGGACCTTTCAGTCCGCAGACCGATGCTCTACCACTGAGCCAAACTGGTTTTGGGAGATTCTCTGATCTTCATGCAGGTTTCACTCTTAAGAATATATTTTTCCTACTTAAATACTTTTTCCTCTTGGAGGACCTTCTGGTTTAAATACAAGGTTTAAAACCCCAGTTACTGGTTAACTTTGGGCTGCTCTTATCCCTTGGAGTCCTTTTGAACAACCAGAGCCTCACTGTTCATGACAGGCTGCAAATTACTGCAGGATGTTTAGACTATCTAGTGGGGGGAAGAGAATAAAGTGGCCTGCACTTGTTTTGCACTGCAGTAGGCTGTTGTGATTATATTTGAATTAAAAGTAGAATAGTGCATTGATATTTTACATCTTATAAATAATTAACATAACTTAAGACGTTTTGACAAAGGTGATGGTGAGGTTTTTTTTTACAGCCTGAGAATCTGGGGTGTCTATCATTTATCAGGACTAACTGACCTTCTTAAGAATCTAAGTGAATCTCACTGGCAATGTGAATTATCAAGAACTTTAATCAGGAATCTCAGATAATGGGATTAGATTAGCGATGGAGATTAAAATGTGCCTTTTTGTCTCCTACCTAACTTTATTGCAAAAATGTTGCCTCTGGCTTCTAGAGGAAAGGGGACAATTTTGTTGTTATTAATCTTCACTTGAGAATATTTTTATTGATTTTTTTTTTTTTTTAGGGAAAAAAGAGAAAGATGAGAAACATTGATGTGAGAGAAACACATCGATTGGCTGCCTCCTACACAAGCCCTGACCAGGGCCTGGGCTGGGGAGGAGTCTGCAACCAAGGTATAAACCCTTGGCCAGAATCTTACCCAGGGGCCCTTTGATCCGCAGGCTGATGCTTTATCCACTGAGCAAAACCGGCTAGGGCAGAGAAGGGACAGTTTTTAATGAGTCTTTATCTTTCAAAAAAGAATGTCAGAATCTGTCAGAAAATATATTTCTAGTGGCTTTCATTGTAGCACTTATATCAGAGCTAAAGGCAGTACACTGCCCCTGGTTCAACTGGGGAAAAGCAGTTTGCTTTGAAACGTTTTCTAGTAAATGAACCCGCACGCTGCCCCCTTGTGCTGAAACAGGGAAAAGCCATTCATCTCTTTCAACCTGCAGTGTTCTGTGCTGCCTCTGTGAGCTTAAATCGTTAAATCCTCGATATGGGAGTGTTTTGGGGCCCGTCTTTTATAGTCCCTATTCTTTCAGGGACTAATGCACAGGAGTCAAGATTGTCACTGTGAAAGTCAAGCCATGCATATATTAGGATTTCTCATGATGACTGTCAGACTAGACCTGAATGCTTTCCAGTTTGAACTGAAATGTGCTAATTTCCTTGTGTTGCCCCCAGGGCTAAGGACAACATGTACCATGCCTTGGGCTACAGTACCATTGTGGTACTGCAGGCCATCATGACCTTCGAGCAACAGGACATCCAAAATGGCATTTCTGCCATGAGGGACGCTTTACAAACCTGCCAAAAGTATGAACTCAGTAATTACCTGCTTGAGATGTGACTGTAAACCTATGTGCCTGTGTGCTAAAATGAATGCCGTTTGCCTGACTGAGAGCTGTTGGAAGCTGGCCACAGTTGTAAGAAAAGGACTTGAGTGTCAGAGCTTTCTTGGCCTGATGTAGTTTTATGTAATAGAGACAAAAATCCCAAACGCATGGCATTTGCGGTAACTGGAAGTACCCAGCAGGGCTGAGGTTTTGTTGGGGTTAGCAAGCTGCTCCAGGGTCTCCCTGTGGTGAGTTTACATACCGCAGCTCAAACCAGGCCAAGCAAGGCACATTCTTTTTGTAGGGGACACTGCCAATTCAGAAAGGAAAGTTTTATTTGCTTACAAAGAATGTAGTTGGTGAAAATGAGATGGGTTTTCAATTTCATTTTAATCTTTGCTCTGTGTCCATAGGAAGACCCTAGCAAAAGCTGTTAGCTAGCATTGGTGAATTTTAACCTTGGTGGAATTATGTACTCACCTAATTTTGTGGCAAGCCCCACACATGAAGAGAGAGCTTGCAAGTATTGCACTCTTACGTTCATTCTTTATCTGTGTTGAGTCTTACCACAGAAATGCTGAGTTCAGCCACAGATCAGGGGAGATGCTTGGCAGGTTGGGGTCACTGTTTTGTGGGGTCTGTCCACTCATGTGTCCAGTGAGCAGGTATTAAGTGCCCCTCCCCTCACCCCCGGCATGCCAGCCCAGTGCTGGGAGGTGAGGTGCAGGGCTGACAAGGGTGGTCTCTGCCCCGGGGGACGGTGGTGTGCTCTGCCTGCCTTCAGGACCCTCTGGTGTGATTGTGACTGAAGTGAACGTTGAGTGAAAAGGAGCTCGGGCTAATTTCTTCTTCTTCCTCTCTCCTTCCCTCCTGCTTATTCTGTGCAGATATAGGAAAAAAAACACGGTTGTAGAATCTTTCTCAAGTCTTATTTCCAGAGGATCATTGGAACAGATGACCGAAGGTAAGTGTCACTTAAAAGATTACATTTTTTCCTTTCTTTGAAAAATTGAAACAGGATCATGCTTGTAAGATCCAATACTTAAATATATCATATAAAGTAAATGAAATGTCTTTTTCTCTTTCCCATCATACCTTCCAGAAGTAGCTACTGGTAGCAGTTGGTTTTGAAGCCTTGCAGACTTTTCAGTGTACATATATAAATAAATATACACAAGGTAGACGTGTTTATAGTTGTTCAAGTTTATTCGTTTTTGCAAGCATAGAATTACATAATATACCAGGATATATTATTCTATAATATTATTTTTTGGGATATTGATGTTTTCCCATGCCAGTATATATAATTTGTATTTCATTCTGTTTAATAGTCATGTAGTACTCCACTGGATGGGTTACTATAAATTACTTGCTTCTATTTATTGAAGAACAGTTGAATTATTTTTATTTTTTCACTATTACAAATGATGCTGTCCTAAAATCCTTTTTTTAAAAATATATATTTTATTGATTTTTCACAGAGAGGAAGGGAAAGAGATAGAGAGCTAGGAACATCAATGAGAGAGAGACATCAACCAGCTGCCTCTTGCACACCCCCTACCCGGGATGTGCCCGCAACCGATGTACATGCCCTTGACCAGAATCGAACCTGGGACCCTTCAGTCAGCAGACCGACGCTCTACCACTGAGCCAAAACGGCCTTGGCCCTAAAATCCTTTTTAAAAAAATCCTCACCTGAGTGTATGTTTTCATTTATTTTAGAGATAGAGGAAGGGAGAGGAAGGGAGAAACAGAGAAACATTGATGTGAGAGAGAAACATCAATCAGTTGCCATCTGCACTCTCCCAGATTAGGGATTAAACCCACAACCTGGGTATGTGCCCTGACTGGGAATCTAACCTGCTACATTTAGGTGTATGGGATGATGCCCCAGTCAACTGAGCCACCCAGCCAGATCATGTCCTAAAATTCTAGGACCTATGTCTTCATACTTTTTTGTAAGTGTTTTAGAGGATAGAATCCTAAAAGTGAAATGACTGGGACTTAGGATTGAAAGTTGTTAATATTTATAGATGCTACCTATGTTTTCTCCAAAGAGTTAGGTCAATTTGTATTTTTACCACCCATGTATGAGAGTTGCTATTTTTCTGCAAGCTATTAAATTGTTTTCAAGGTAAAAGGAGTAATTTTGATATCTTAAGAAAACACATTGGTTATGTTTCACAGTATGGAAGATGTTTGGTGTGTATATATTTAGGAAATATTTGAGAACCCAGGAATGGCCATAGCACTCTGATTAGTTGAAGAGGGAAGGGAATGGGTCTTTTTGTTGTCAATTCCTTCAAGTTCCCACTGAGATGAGGGCAGAAGGTCCCTGATTAGCTGTTTTATAAGTGTAACACTCTAGTCAGAATTGCTTCTAAGAAAAGAACACCCAGATGGCCTGCAGAAGAGAAAATCATGTGCTTCAGATGTGGCCAGCCTAGGGTAAAGCTCTGCTCTCTGAGGAGAATTTGTGCACGTGTCTGTCGTCATTGTCAAACTGACACCCTGGAAGAGGTAACACCAATAGTGGAAGTGGCTGATTAAGGCAAGAACTATTCTGGAGACAGCTGTCAGAGTCATGCCTGGTCTTCACATGTATGTCAGGCACAGTTTTTTATTTATTTTTTTTGTTATTTTTGGTTAATCCTCACCTGAGGCTATTTTTTTCCCATTGAGTTTTAGAGTGAGGGGGAGATAGAGAGGAACATTGATGTGAGAGAGACACATCTATTGGTTGCCTCCCAAACACTCCCTACCAGGATCTGGAATTGAGCCTGCAACTGAGTTACATTTCCTTGACTAGAATCGAACCTGGGACCCTTCAGTCCATGGGATGACGCTCTATCCACTGAGCCAAAATGGCCAGGGCCAGTTTTTTAATGTGTTGTATTATGAGGTTTTATTTTGTTAGAAGAACATTATCATCAACCTGTTGTAGACAATGAAGAACTCGGGAACATTTGTATGTTGTGAGGCTAGGCGCTGATCACAGGAGAGGCCTATGGGACTTGTTCCTAAAGGGTATGATGTTGGCCCTTAAACGGTTACAGAACGGAACGGTGTTTCCTGTTTCACCCCAGGCAGCCGAAGCACACTACCTTTTTATCCAGAAAGTGATTTTCTTTATCCCCTTGATTTTGGGTAGAATATAGCTTCATATTTTCCATCTTTGGGTCATTGATGTAAATTGGTCCCAGTAATCCTACAGGCCACTAAAGTAGGTCAGTGAGAGTTTAAATGGACCCTGAAGGAATTTGACTCTTTCATCTGTATTCTTTCTGTTTTCCTCAATCTGGTTTCTCTCCAGTGGCCTGTTGCCTTCTGCTTTCCTTTTTTTTTTTTTTTTCTCCAATATGAAGGCTGACATTTGAGATTTTTTTTTTTTAACCTTAGTTTTGGGAAGAATTACATAATATTCTTAGTGTCAATATAAATAATTATCACCTAAAAAGTAATAGTGATAATGCCCCATTATGTCTATGTGTCAGACACTGTTCTTGATGCTCTCCTAGCATTATTCAATCTAATCTGTGGAACTTCCTTTTTTATGGAGCACAAACTAATATTCAGAAGTTTAAACACATGGCCCAGCAGAGCAGGGTTCAAACCTGGTCTACCTTTTCCTAAGCCATAGTTCTTTCCTCTGTAACCCAAACTTTCTCCTGTACACGTGTAGAAAAAAAGGTCATAGAATGTGTTATAAATGGATAAGGGAAATGTTGAATTGTTCCTGTGTTAGAGATCTTGACAATGGATGGTGCTGTGTTCTGATCTTTTTATTATGTCTTTGGACATAGCATTTTAGAAAATCTGGAATAGTTTTTACCAAATATTAAAAAAAAACAAGCAACAATGAGACACTCCTACACACCTGTTAGAATGTCCAAAATCTGGAACACTGACCACAGGAAATGCTGGCAAGGCTGTGGAGCCTCGGGGACTCCTTCGTGGCTGATGGGAATGCAGGATGGCACAGCCACTTCGGAGGCTAGTCTGGCAGTCTCTTATGAAACGAAACATACTTTTGCCATACGATCCAGCAGCCGCTCTCCTTAATACTTCCTTAAAGAGCTGAAACTTTGTGTCCATACAAAAACCTGCAGGTGAATGTTTATATCAGCTTTATTCATAAATGCCCAAATTTGTAAGCAACCAAGATGTCTTCCTGTAGGTGAGTGGATAAATAAGCATCCAGACAATGGAATATTATTTAGCACCAAGAATAAGAAAGAGCTATGACATCATGGGAAGACATGGAAGAACCTTAAATGCATATTACTAAGTGGAAGACACCAATCGGAAAAGGCTACATACTGTTTGACTCTAAGTATAGGACATTCGGTTAAAGGCAAAACTATGAGAGTGAAAAGATGAGTGGCTGCCAGGGGATCAGGTGAATAGGTAGAAGATAGAGGATTTTCAGGGACTGAGGCACCCTGTAGGATACCACAATGGTGAATACATGTCATTGTATGTTTGTCCAAACATAGAGAATGTGCAACACCAACACTGACACCTCGTGTAAACTATGGACTGTGGGTGATTATGATGTCAGTGGAGGTTCATAGTTGTAACGAATACATCACCCGGGAGAAGAGGGTTGTTGATAGTGGGAGAGACTATGCATGTGTGGGGGTAGAGGCTAAGTGGGAAGTCTGTACCATGCACGCAGTTTTGCTGTGAGTCTACTAGTAAAACAGCTCTAAAAAATAAAAATTAATTAAAAATCATAAGTTGAAAAAAATAAGTCCACTTATGACTAGCCTATTCTGAAATATAGGTTTACTTAGACTTTTCATAATTGAAGGCATGCTTAGCTAACATTTCATTGCAAAGTGAAGGTATTTCCTTCAGTGAACTAAGAAATTGCAAAGAAATAAGGCTTCCATAAATTAAGTTGCATTTATTCCTAATGGATTTGGCTGCCACTGCAACCCAAACAGACTCTGTGCTCCAGGGAGCGTGTCAAAACATTGTAGCTTTAGCATGCGATTTGTTTTTCCTCTTGGTAATTTTCATTTACATCCTTGAGTGGCTGGCTGTGTGCAGGAGGAAGTCCAGTTAATTAAACTTTTCATGGGTTTAACATGGAACACTCCCGCCCTTCTCTCGTGGCTGGCATGTTGCCCCAAATGGCTTTCACATTGCCTTGAGGAACACATACTTACAGGCAATGCTTAGGATGTGAGAGGGACTTAATGTGAAGAATATGCATGTATAGTGTGCACAGAGTTTAAAGGTCCTTGCCTTTTATCTCTGCTTTCGGCTTACATCCTTTATTTTTTATTTATTTATTTAAAAAAAATATATTTTATTGATTTTTTACAGAGAGGAAGAGAGAGGGATAGAGAGTTAGAAACATCGATGAGAGAGAATCATCGATCAGCTTCCTTTTGCACACCCCCTACTGAGGATGTGCCTGCAACCAAGATACATGCCCTTGACCCAAATTGAACCCGGGACCTTTCAGTCTGCAAGCCAGTGCTCTATCCACTGAGCCAAACTGGTTTTGGCTCAGCTTACATCCTTTAGCTGCTGATAGATTGATCTGTCTTCAACTTAATCCTGACCCTGCCACCTTTCTGCTCAGATCTCTGTGAGGACTCACCATTGCCTCCCGAATTGAGCCCCGACTCTGACATTCAGGGTTGTTCCATAATTTAGCTCCGAGGTACACTTCCAGACTCAGTGGCCATGCCTCCCTTTGCACCTGGTGCTTCAGCCACAGGCACACCCGCAGATGACCTGCACTTCCCTCGCCCAATGGCAGTTTCCCCCTCGGCACCTGCCCCACGCCAGCATCTGGGTTCCTGAGCAGGCTTTCAAAGTGAATAGTTCCTAACCATGCCCACTTCGTAACAAGTGTACCTGGGGGAGAGAATATTCAGGCGACTCTACAAAAAGAAGTTGCCAGTTTTTATGGACTGAATACACTGGGCAAGTCCAAAAGCACACGTGGAGGTGGGGTGTTTTGAACCACTGACTGAAATCCAGTCAATGCTGCCGGGATGTGCACAGGCCACCACTCCTCATCCTTATGGGTGCTCATGGGCGATCTTAGCTGCAGAGCTGCTTTTTTGTAAATTCAACCTGTGGAATATGAGCATGGCAGACATATTGATTTTTTATTTACGTTGAACCCATTTGTGAAAACCAGTGATGTGTAGTGTGTAGTGTGTGTGTGTGTGTGTGTGTGTGTGTGTGTGTGTGTGGTCGAGAGTCTGGTGTATAAATAAAAGCAATAGTTCTTATCCAGTTTAATTCAACAGCTTTTCCACCAGCACAGAAACACCCTAGTTTTCAGCACGGCACACAAAATGTCCTGCTGTATTTATGTATCAAGTGCTTCTCTGAATTGTGAACTCCACATGCAGCATCTCATGGGTTCCTGACTCTGAACCAGACATTGTAGCCAGGCCGTACAGGAGCAGACCAGCCGAGAGTGGTCCTACCGCTAGGACTTGGCAATACCCTCCTCCATCCCAGGCGGTTAAACTCCCCAAGCTCATTTACTACCCGTTAGTATGTCAGGGATGAAACAGGAATCTGCTGATGTTTTTGATGCAAAAATGCAAAGATTCTCCGCTGCGCCCCAATCTCTGCAAGTGTAGCGGCTTGTTTGGGAAGATAGGGCTCCACGTGCCCCTGGGATATGCAACCTCTGTTCCCGAGCTCGAAGTCACAGCTATCCAAATTGCCTAACACCTGGCTCGCGTGTTTTTCACGTCTTTTGTGTGTAGGGGCCATGACGTGTGCATGCAGGGGTAGTTCTTTTTCATGGAGTTAGAGAGGATGGCTGTTCTCAGGTTACTAGTGTGTCTGATCATTACCCGGGTGATCGTACCTTCATATTTTAGAAGCTTGAATTCACAAATGTAAGTTGTTTTTGTTTTTGTTTTTTCAATCTGTATAACTGTGTTAAACTTAAATATTATTATTAAAAGTAAGAGGTTCTCTGTTTTTGTTTTAATGCTTTTGAATTTTGGTTTCCTCTTGTAAGCTGGGTTTGGGTCCCTGAAACTAACAGCCCAACTCCTTGCCCTCACGTTTGAATGGAAGCATAAGACGGCGTTCCTGTGCCAGGGGTGCACCTTCTGGAAAAAGCTTGCGGAGAGACTGAGAACGGAGGTCATCGTTCCACTTTTACGGAAGCATAAGGGCGATCTAGGGTTTTGGGTTTCTCTTGGGTTCATTTATCTACCAGTCTTCTCTGAACATCTCTGAGCAATTACTGTGGACCTGGGATTTTCCTTAATATGATTTTATTTGTGTGTTTGTTTGTTTGTTTTTTTTAAAATAGAGGAAATGCATGCCGAAATCTGCTATGCGGAGTGTCTCCTACAGAAAGCAGCACTCACGTTTGTGCAGGTAACGAACCTTCGCTTGAGAGTCCATATCGCTGGGGTAGCCTGCCAGAACTCCATAGAAAAAACACCGTTCCTTTGATGTCAGCGCTTCAGTTCTTTTGGCTTAGAGTTGCAATGAAAGGGACTTGTTATTCGGATAAGCCAGGGAGCTTTATTCCTATTCACATGTCCTGAGAGTCTGTTTCAAACTTCAGTCTCCTGGAAACTACTGCCTTTTAAAGAAACTGTCTTGCACGTACCACCCTAATTTCAGGACGCTCCTCTCTATGAAACTGAGCTGCTCTCTCCCTCTGAGCTTGCTCCTATTGGTAGAGGGCTGCACACAGCAGTGGCCCAGGCATAAAGGCTTCCTCAGTCTTTGGCCATTCCCTTCCTGCCTCAGTTGCTTCAGCAAAGCTCAGTTATGCATGCATCGAGAGCTACACTTTTCATGCATACTTCAGATTTTAATTTTCTCCTTCTTTCTCTTGTCATTCCCCTGTCTTGCTTTTAGTTCTTCCTTTGAATGAGCATTTTTAAAAAGTCACTAAGAACACCAGGAGCCATTTCCTTAGGAGACATTTTTCATTTCACCTCTAGGGACTGTTGCTACCAGTCCCTATCCTTATATCTCCCAATGCTTCTAAGAAATACGGTGGAGGTGATGGTCACCGTGGGGCAGCCGTGGGGTGGAGATTGGAAGAGGCAGAAACTCAGCTGTAATATGAAAAGAATCTTCCTCAATCTCAGTCTTTCACATTGTATGGAGAATTGCTTTTCTCTTTTGCTGGGGGTTGACTTCTTAGGTTGGATTCTGGTTTGGCAAAATTGAATCCATTGGGCCCATGACCCCATTTCCTAAAATCCAACATATTATGAAGGCTGAATAAAAACCAGTCTTCCTGCTTTAGTAAATAACCCTAATGTCAGTCACCGAGACCTTTGCTTTTTTCTGATGTGTTTCCCGAATGAGGATTTGACCATTAAATCTATGATTTGAAGGCTTATGTTACGCTTGGGTACTAGTAGTCAAACGTCCGGGAGATTTCCATGGCTTTCCTCTTCCACATGCCTCCATATCCAGACAGTCTCATGGTCATGCCTCTTTTACCTTGGGAAGAGTTAGCAGCTCCATTTCTTCCCCTTTCTCCTGACTGTAATTGTCCAGTGGAGGTGCGAGTCAGTTGTTTCCAGGCTTAACAGCAACTCAGTGACTAATTTCTCTGACCTCCCACTCATTCTCCATTGTGCAATGGAGCACCCTCTCAAAGAGGAGAGCCTCACCTTGTGATTTCTCTGCTTCAGCCTTGAGTAGTTATCACGAACTGCAGCAGGGGTTCTGTATTAGAATGCCAGAAATGGAGGAGGCTTTTTCCAAACTAAACCAGTATCTCCCCCAAGTTCCCTGCTCCCCTCTTCCTGACGGCTGTAGGTGGCAGATATGTTGCATATTTGGCCCAGGTAGAGGTGGCTTTCTTACTCCTTCGTCATTCCCTTTGCTGTAGATTTCTGCAGCAGTGCTGAGGATGGCCAAGCACTATGTAATGCTTTCTCGCCTTCCCACTGAATTTTCTTTTGCTTGCGAAGTTTACATCTGCTTTGCCTTTCTTCACCAGGCTACTTCTTAATCATTGTGTGTGTGTGTGTGTGTGTGTGTGTGTGTGTGTGTGTGGTGTGTGTGTGTGTGTGTGTGTGTGTGTGTGTGTGTGTGGTGTGAGTACACATGTGCTTTAAGCACTGATACTTCCTGTCCTCCTGCCTTTGTGCTGTTACAGCATCCTGCTGTGCATGTCTCCATCTGTATGCCTTCCTTCATCCCTGAGCACATTGCATTGCTTTTGTCTAATTTTGCATCCGGGTGCCCTGGTGTAAAATAGGCATTCAGCCAATGTTTGGTGAATCATGAAATGAAATATTCTTATTTGAGGCAGATTTTAATCTAATTTAAGCAAATTGTTTTCTGGCCATTATTGCAATTTGCATAATCACAAAATGCCTTAAAATACCATGGTAAAAATTATGTACTGAATTTTGTATTTATTAATATTATAGTCATTTAAATGTTAGTAACTAATGAAATTTCATTTAAGTAACTAATGAAATTAGTAAACTTGTTTCAGACAAAGAAGTCATTGTTTCTTTTGCTTCAGACAATGTTCAAGTGCACAGGAGATAAATACCAGAGCATCTCTCTGATATTAATAGCTTAAAAAAGTATTCTTGGAAATGGGAAACATGGAGCCATTTCCATTTGCACCATCCATTATACCAGGTGGGCCAAAAATAGGTTTATAGTTGTGAGTACACTAAACAGCGTATATTCTTGTATTATTATTCATTGTATTATTTCCCATACAGACAACTGTAAACCTCCTTTTGCTACCCTTTAGTAATTTCCTTCAAGCAGTTATTTGATAGGCTTTTTAAAAAGACTCTTGGAACCTTACAATGCTGAGTCTAAAAATGCCGTTCATTTAGGGCCACTGCCTCAATTTGATGGTTGATGACTATTAGGCAAGAGAAGTGCGTTCCTCCTAACCCTAACCCTCCCCCTCAAAAAATAAATTTCATATTATTGACAACAAATTTAGAATCCAGAACAGTTATTTTTAATTTGGAAATGTATATGAATGGCATTCACAATGGTAAATGGTCTCTGTCTATTAAAATACCCTGTGAAAAAAGAACTGTAATAAGGACAATTGTGTGATACCATAATCAATAAATAAAAAAAAAGTATTCCAGGCAAGGAAATAAACCTTCAAACAAACAAACAAACAAACAAACAAAAAGAACTGTAATCCCATTGGCTGGAGTATGATGGATAGGGATAGGAAAGGCCTTACATCATATTTCTAAAGCCAACCATTTTGGATTCTATTGAACCAAGAAGAAAGTTGCTCATTCAAGTAGGTTTGTATTCACCTATATGGCCCGTAATTATGAGAGTTATTTCTTTAATTACTTTCTTAAAGTAATTTAAGCATTTAAAAAAATGTTTCCTTTCAGTTGTCCTCTAACTTGGAAGAAAAATGACGAAACGGTATCTCAAATATAAAAGAATAAAAATGTTTTAATTTAAAAAAATGATGTTCTCAAAAGATGGTATTTTGTTCAGATCACACAACTACATAGCTGTGGGAAAGGTTTAAGAATCTCTTGCAAAATAATCTAATTATTTAATTGAATTGTTTTCAGGATGAAAATATGATCAACTTCATCAAAGGTGGACTCAAAATTAGAACGAGTTACAATATATATAAGTAAGTTAAAATTTAAGATTTGGGCTTTTTATTTATTTATTTAAAAAATATGTTTTATTGATTTTTTACAGATAGGAAGGGAGAAGGATGGAGAGCTAGAAACATCAATGAGAGAGAAAAACAACCATCAGCTGCCTCTTGCACACTTTCTACTGGGGATGTGCCCGCAACTACAGTACATGCCCTTGACTGGAATAGAACCTAGGACCTTTCAGTCCGCAGGCGGATGCTCTAACCACTGAGCAAAACCAGTTAGGGCAAGATGTGGGCATTTTAAGTCTTACCACTGGAAGTTTGTACCTTTGACCACGATCATGTGGTTTTTAAAGAATTTCCGTACTATGTACCATTTTTTACTTCAGAATTTTTGACTAGGGTGTTTTTTTTTTTTATTTTTTATTATTTGATGTTGATAAAAATGGACTTGATTTCTAGTTTATTAATTGATTACTATAGGACAACAGAATTTTAATTTCAATGTAATTTTAAGGGAAAACAGCTAAACATTAGCTGATAATTTATGTTTAGATAACCTTAATGTCTCTCTTCTAAAAACAATTCATAAATTTAAAATAACAGGTATATCTTTGGCCCTGCCTCTAGAGCAGCATTGCCCAATAGAATTTCTGCAGTGATTCAAATGTTCAATTAAGGTAAACCATGGTATTGTTCATAGCTTCTGCAATCTTTCTGATTTTTATCTAGTGGTTTTATCATTTACTCACAATGTTAAAACTCTCTAACTTTGATTCTGGAGGCATTTATTTCTCCCATTAGTTACATCAATGTTTGCTTTGTATATTTAGAAATTCTGTTGTTATATATATTTTTTTAATTGGTTTATTTTTCCAATAAATTAACCTTTTTATAAGTATGAATTGTCTCTATTTGACTCCTTGTAATATTCCTTGTCTTGAAACCCCCCACCCCCATATTAATATAGTTATTCATGTATTTTATGATTAGTGTCTATGTGGCATATATTCTTTTACTTTAAACCTTTAAAAATATTTAAATTGCTTTTCTTGTAGTGGTGCATCACTGTGTCCTGCGTTTTTACTCAGCATGACAATATGTTTGCACTTGTGACTACCATTTTGTTTTTTCACTTAGCCTCATTTGTTTCTCCCCTTCTTTTGCTTTAATAAATTAAAAAGTAAATGCTCCTTCTATTTTCCCAGCTATAGCCATCTTTAATTTTTTAATAGTTGCTCTAGTGATTGCAATATACTTCTTGTCACAGTCAACATAGAGTTAATATTGTACCGTTACACATAAAATATAAGAACTTCGCAAAAGTATAGTTTCATATTCCACCTGTTACCTTTTATATTACTCTGATGATAGTACATGTATGCATATTATAAACCTCACAATGCAGTGCCAATCTTTTGTTGAAATAGTCTTATATTAGAGTCTTCTTTATGTAAACATATAGCTACCATTTTTTGTGATCTTCATTTTTACCCCTGTGTATTTTCAGACTGAAGCATTTAGTATTTTTAGAGATACCTTTACCCTAAATGATTTGATAAAATTATATTTCATTCAAAAACCCTGGAGGGGGATGGATTGTGGGAACCTGATAAACTGTTTTTAGTTTTTTTCTCAAAATATTTATAGAAGATATAAATGCATGTTAAAATTGATTGCTTCTAGTCATCAAAACTTAAAAAACTGAAGAAATTAAAATAGTCTCAGAATGGCACAGACTTATACGAGTGGAATGGAACATGGGGTTTTGAAACAGATGTGTCGTGTGTGTGTGTATTCATGTGTACACACCCTTGTGCATATTAAAATATACTACATTACTACACATACACAAATCTCTTTCAAAACATTGGAGGAAGACGGTGACTTTAACAAATGATTTTGGGAAAATTGGTCTTCATTTTGAAAAAATGATGATGCAAAATTAAATTCCATATAGATTTAATATTAGAATATTTTAAAAAATACTTCTAAAACATAGGAAAGGGTTTTTAAAAAAATATATTTTATTTATTTTTTACAGAGAGGAAGGGAGAAAGATAGAGAGCTAGAAACGTCGGTGAGAGAAATCATCGACCAGCTGCCTCTTGCACACCCCCCACTGGGGACGTGCCCACAACCAATGTACATGCCCTTGACCGGAATCGAACCTGGAACCTCTCAGTCCGCAGACCGACGCTCTACCACTGAGCCAAGCCGGCTTCGGCAGGAAAGGGTTTAAAAATATATATATATATATATATATATATATATATTTTATTGATTTTATACAGAGAGGAAGAGAGAGGGATAGAGAGTTAGAAACATCGATGAGAGAGAATCATCGATCAGCTGCTTCTTGCACACCCCCTACTGAGGATGTGCCCGCAACCAAGGTACATGCCCTTGACCGGAATTGAACCCAGGACCCTTCAGTCCCCAAGCCAACGCTCTATCCACTGAGCCAAACTGGTCTTGGCAGGAAAGTGTTTTTTTATAATCCTAAAGTATGAAGACCTTTAAACTTTTGTGGGTTTTTAAATTTTTTTTTTCACTTTGAAATAATTTCAGAATTTTTATAAGAATTTTCAGATATTCTTTACACAGTTTCACAAAAGTTAACATCTTATAGAACCACAGTACAGTTATTAAAATCAAGAAACTAACTGATTCAATATCATGAACTAATGTATTGACTTTACTCAATTTTTTCTAATTGTCCCACCAGTGTACTGGATGGTTATGAATTTGTGGGAGGTGAGACATAATTCAGCTCATAGCTCCTTGTATTTCCTGTAATCTGCAAGTTTGAGCTACAGGATTATTAGATTTAGGTTAAATTAATTTGGTTTAGACACATAATATAGATTGCATACATTATAATTACATCATAATACATAATATCTGGTTATTTCTTAATACCCTTAAAATGTGTTTATCAATTTGGTAGGCAATTCCTGGTTATTATAAATTTTATATCTTTGTCATTGAGTTTAATTTGCATTTCTCTTTTGAAGATGTGAAGGGGAAAGGAAATGCATAGAAAATATATTAAAGTGAGAAATCAGTAAGATTTGCTTGAAGGAACAGGAAAAATAAGAGGATAAATGGAGCTATTGTGATGGAATTTGCTTTCTTCTTTCAGTGTTTCCTAGTCACAAGCTCTAATTCACTTGGTCTACTGGAGACTATGGCGATCACACTGAAATTCTTTTATTTTATTTTTATTTTTTGTTTTTTTTTGTCAGTAGCATCTCAGTTAGTTGATGGAAGATAGGGTAGCTGAGGAATGGACCGCACCCAGGAAGTCCCCTCCACTGCATTGTGGGAGACTGGGAGACGGAGGTCCTGCAATCCTACGTTTCCTGGGTCTTACTTGCTGGTGTTTGAACCTCTCTTGCTTTAAGACCAGAGGATTAGTCCTGGTAAACAGTGTAGAAATGAGCATGCCATTTTTCCTTACTGATAATGACGCAATAGCTTTAAAAGTAAAACTCAACACAGCAGCATCCACCTAGATAGTCTCTAGAATTTTGGCCAATGACAATTATTTTATGGTGTGTAAGTGTGAAATTTGACTTAACAATCATTTTCAGAGTCATAATAAATTTATTCTCTAACTTTTTTCTTCAATCCAGAGAATGTCTTTCTATCCTGCATATACTTCAGAAGAACAAAGTTGAGCAACAATTCTTCCATGAGTTTGAAGGGGGTGTCAAACTTGGAATAGGGGCCTTTAATTTGGTAAGTAAATAATTACATAGCCACCAGAATCTTTTGTAAAAGATCGTGGGTTTTCAGTGCCTTCTGTACTGCCTTTGAACCTCACCCTGACTCTCTGCCTGGGTTTGGTTGGTAAATGGTAGAGTGGGATCAGTTTTCTTCTGTTGAGACCCAGTGGGAGCTTTGGTCAGTATGTGTGATAAAGTCCTGCGCATGCTCAGAATACTTTTGGGTTGTACCTACAGTTAGATACACTAACATGTGAGTACACTTGTTTTGTTTTTTTTTTTCTTACAGATGCTGTCCCTTTTACCAGCACGAATTATCAGACTACTAGAATTTATAGGATTTTCTGGAAACAGGGTACAAATTTAATTTTATTTCTGTTTTGTCAGTGAAGATAAAATGTTATTTACTGAACAGTAGAGCAATGCAACATGTCCTCACAACCAACATGACAATCGTTGGCAATTTGTTTGTGGGATAATAAAGAGCCACTGGTCCTTGATCATGTTTTTTAGGAATTAGAGGTGCTTTTTCTACTGAAAGTTAAATTTTTTATCTCTGTTACCTAAATTCTGAGATTAAAATTTTTATTTTCACTAAGATAGGTTGGAGCAAAAGTAGGTTTACAGTTATTCAGATGGAATATAATGCAGTAATTAACAATACAAGAATAAAGTCCATGTTTTGTGTACTCAACAAAACTTTCCTTTTGCCCCAACTGTGCTGTGCTTGCTGGACCTTCAGTACACTTGTGTGGTTCAAATTCGCTTCCTTGACATTTTTACAACCCCAGAGTCTTTTGTAAAACCAGGAAATTGGCTAGATTTCCAAGTCTAACATTTTATGATTCACATGATCAAGTGTAGCTGCAGTATTTTGGGTTTCCTTGTATTTTTACAAGCTTCACTAGAAAACTAAGCAAGGACATTTGTTTTCCATGTTTTTGTTAAATGTTACTGTATAACATTTATTAATCATAGCATTCAACATGATATTATCAGAGTTGCCTTATTGCAAAAGCCTGTTAATTAGGAGAGCAGGTTTAAGAAATGTATGAGAATACGTATAAAAACCTGTAATTTAAAAAATTCTCCCCTGAGGATATGTTTTTTTAGTGATTTTTTTTAAGAGCGGAGGAAAGGAAGGAGAGAGAAAGAGAAAGAGAACCATCAATTGGTTGCCTCCCATCATGGCCCAACTGGGGATTGAACCTGCAAACTAGATACTTGTCCTGACCTGGAGTCAAACACACAACCTTTTGATCTATGGGACAATGCTGTACCCAACTGAGCCACCCAGCCAGGGCAAAAACCTTTAATTTCCCCCCTCATTTATTCTACTGTATCTGTTCTTCATTAGGCATTATGTACTTACGGTGATCTCTTCATGTATGTTCTGTCTATTCAGACTGTATTTAGTCCTCCTCCTTCCCCTTGACCATTCATCTTTCACAGGGCACTCACTATATTCTAGTAAAATCATGTGCTTGTATACTGTCTTCTCTATTGGATGGAAAGGTCTTTGGAGACATAGAACCATATTTATTTCTACCCACTATAGTGCCTTTCTCTTAGCTCCTCATTATGTTTTAATAAGTTAATATTTATATCAGAGAAAGAACAACATTTCTCTGAAATGAGCTCTGCTTTCCTCTCTCTCTAGAATCACATGATACAAAAGAATTTGTGAGATTGTCTTATGCCACGTTAAAATGTAAAGTTGGTTTCAAGTTGGGAATTATGACTGTTCTAAGTTCTTAAAAAATGAACTCACCTTTGTGGTGGATGCGGATACAGGAGCTAGCATTTTAAAGTTTCTGAATGATTTTCCAGGAATGCTCTTCTCATTCTAAAAAACATTTAATTCCCACAGGAACTGGGCCTTCAGCAGCTACACGAAGGTGCATCAGGAAGAAGCATAAGATCTCCACTCTGCTGCTTGACTCTTCTGTCTTTCCATACTTACATCTCCCTAATACTTGGTAAGTGCTGGTATACATTTTATGTCACTGTCAGTGGATTATCTTTCATCTAAGTAAAATTTTTGAAAAATAAGTAAGTGGTAATAGTCTAAATCTATCTGTTTATTTATGAATAAAGATGGAAAATAGTAATAACATTTGTCAGGGATGGTGGATAGTTTCTTTCATTGAATTTTTAAAACCTGTTCATAGCTTAAAAAAATTCTATAATACTTGTTGAAGGAGATCTACGTTAGCATCCTAGATTTCCTTTTAAACTAAAATGTGGGCTAAAATAAGTTAATATTGCTATTAAAGCCAGAAATTCCAATTAGGGATCTAAGACAACCACCTCCGTTCTTAAGAATTAGTGTGTCCTAGAGCTTTCTTAAATGAAAGTCACAGATGAGGATTGTCTTATTATATTTTCCAAAGAAATGAACAGCTTTCGTCCTTTCCATGAATAGGCCTTTGCTACCTGTTAATGAACTTGGGAGAATTGATTATCGGGCTCTGCGTGTTTCCTGGAGACTGAGGCTGTTCCTGTTACGTTGCAGGGACAGGAGAGGTGAACCTTGTGGAAGCGGAGAGTCTCCTGGCACCCTTCCTGCAGCAGTTTCCAAACGTACGCTGAGAACCGCAAGTGTAGTTTCAGCCGCGATCCCCTGGCCGGGGCCACCGTTGAACAGTGTATCTCTTCCTTTCTCCTCAGGGCTCACTCATGCTGTTTTATCACGCCCGAATAGAGCTGCTGAAAGGCAATGTAGAAGAGGTAATTTCTTTGGGAGGAATTATTTGGGAAGTTGTCTGTGTGGTGGAGTTGCATCACATTCGCATTCAAGATTAGTCAGTTTAGCTGTGTGCCCTGGACAGAAGCAAAGAAAAAAAACAACTGTAATTAAAAAGCCAAAATTAAATTTTGTGTGTGTATGCTATTGTATGTAGTAGATTACTGATTACAGTCTACATTTACACATAAAGTACATGAAACAATTCATAGTAAAGTATACAAAATACAGATGTACAATTTAAGGGATTTTTTTTTTAAACTTGACTGTTATCAATTTCTATCTATATATAAAAGGCTAATATGCAAAACGTCCCCTTGGGGTTGGACCAGGAGCCTGGAAGTTTGATTGCTTTCTATGATGTGTGCTGTCCATCAGGGTGTGATGTGGAATGAAGGAAGGCCCCAGCCTGCAGCCGGAAGTCCCCTGATCAGCCCTGATTGCCAGTCAGGCCTACGGACCCTACCTGTGCAAAAATTTTGTGCACTGGGCCTCTAGTATTATATATTGATTTTGGAATTTATCTCCTATATGAGGTGCAACCTCACTGTACTACATGTTTGCTCTTCATCAAAGCGAATTATTCACTAATTACCTTGAAGAAGATGAAGAGCTTTTTATATAAATATTAGAGGCCCAGTACATGAAATTAGTGCATGGGTAGGGTCCTTAGGCCTGGCTGGCAATCAGGACCGATCTCTGGGGCAACCAGTGGGCAATCGGGGGACTCCTGCTGGCACCTGCCTTGGCCGGCCTGGCACTACCTACTCACTGGCCCCACCCCCTACTTCTACTGCTGGTTGCCTCCCTCTGTAGGGCGACTAGTGGGGCGATCAGGAGGCCCCCACTGGCACCCATCTTCACTGGCCTGGGGCCAGCTCCTGGTGGTCAGTGCACGACATAGCGATTAGTTGTTCTACCATTAGTTCCGCCATTTGGTCGATTTGCATATTAGCTTTTATTATACAGGGTTCTTACAAGCAATTGTCTTCTATACAAATGGGGTCAAACATATGTATTTTTCTTTGATTTTTTTTCTACTTATTGGATTTCTGTCCAGGTCAGTGTATGTAACTCTCATTCATTCCTTTCGATGGCTGGGTTTCATTTCTTAGGATGGATGTACTATGCCTATTAAAGTGGTCCATTATTGATAGACATCTAACTACTATAAGCAGTGCTATTGTAAACATGATTATATGTATATTTCTGTGCATATGTGTGATATGCTGATCATTAGGATTTCCAGGTCAAAGATGTTTGCATTTTGATAAATTCTGCCAGATTGCTCTACTGACTTATTAAGGTTATTCCATTTACACTCTTGTAATGATAGAATACTTGTTTCCAGTGATCTTTATCCAATCTAGACATGATCTCTTTTATTTTTGCCTCTTTCTTGGCTAAACAATGATAACCTAATTTTATTTTTATTGATTTTTATTTTTATTGATTTCAGAGAGGAAGGGAGAGGGAGAGAGAGAGATAGAACCATAAATGATGAGAGAAAATCACTGATGGGCTGCCTCCTGCATCCCCTTTCTTGGGGATTGTGTCCTGACCAGGAATTGAACCATGTCCTGGTTCAGAGATTGATACTCAACTACTGAGCCTTGCCAGCAACGCTAATTTTTTAAAAAAAATATATTTTTTATTGATTTCAGAGAGGAAGGGAGAGGGAGAGAGAGATAGAAACGTTAATGATGAGAGAGAATCATTGATTGGCTCCTCCTGCACGCCCCCCTCTGGGGCTCGAGCCCACAACCCAGACATGTGCCCTTGACCAGAATCAAACTTGGGACCCTTCAGTCTGCAGGCTGATGCTCCATCTATGAGCTCAACCAGCTAGGGAAAGCTGGGCTAATTTTTAAATTTATATATTTTTAGTTTCTTTATATGTATATTTGTTACTCGTGTATCTTTCTAATTTGCCTATTCATCTTTGACAATTCTCTCATTGAGGTTTTTTTTTGTCTTTTTCTAGAAGATTTGATAAACTTGTTGGATAAGGGTAATCCTTTGCCACTTATGTATAATAGCTGATGATATCTTCTCCCAGTCTGTCCATTGCCTCTAACTTTGTTTAAGGTATTTTACTCTGAAAGTTCTGACTTCTGTGTCAGTATTTTCTTAATGGACCTCTACATTTTATATCTTACTACATTCTATAACTTCCCCATCCCCACCCTATAAAGTTTCACAGCCGCCTTAGAAACTTAAACAGAGAGGCAGAAAAGAACTGTATCATTACATGTGAGGAAAGGAACATAGCATCATTTTGAGTGGTTTAGTGAGAGGTGATGTTGTTCGTTCTGTACAAAGTGTTTTATGTATTTTTCCATTAGGTTATTATCTCCTTGTGTAATATTTGGATGATCAGCTTTATGCAATTGACTTATAGGCACAAGAGGTATTTCAAAAATGCATTTCAGTTCAAGAGGAATGGAAACAGTTTCACCATCTCTGTTATTGGGAACTGATGTGGATTAATATATTCCAACAAAACTGGATGAAGGCGTATTACTATTCAGACCTGCTTTTCAAAGAGAGTAAATGGTCCAAGGTAAAGAGCAGTGCTTCCATTAATGTCATCTATTTACTAATAAGTATTCAGGACTTTTAGGACTATTTGTTCAGTAGTATGATGTCGACATGCTTTTCTCCAAGGAGGAAATGTGCATTTAGTGCCTATTGGTTATGAATGCTATTGGTCCTCAGCACGGCATACTAAAAAAGCCATCCAAAGAGTCCTTTTCCTCTGAAGAAGGACTGCACATATATTTAAAAATTATTAAATACCAATAGTCTTGATAATTTTTTGTAGATTTTTCCAATGCCCTGATGTGAAAGCTTTTCATAATAATCAACATTGGTTCTGATCCATTTGTGAGAAGTTGGGAGTAATGAGATAATGATCTCTTGTTCATTTTGTTCATTTTCTCACCCAAGAGCACTCTAGTTGTGTAGTAGGAAAATGGTCAGCAGTAAATGAAAAGTATTCACCTCATTTGGAACAGGCATGGCGAGTCATTTTATTTTATTTCTTTGATACCTCTTAAATATTATGTCTGGAAGACCTGTAGGTCATTCCTGATTGCAAGGTAGAAGTGCCATGTTCCTACGGATCTTCTATAACCAGGTGCTATTTTCTCTTCTTCCAGGCCACGGCTGTGTACTTGAAAGCTGCGATTTTGAGTATGCTTCCTGAGGAGGAACTAGAAGAAACTAAAGAGAATGTGGTAACTTTATTCAGGTGAGCAGCATACTACTTCTATAACCAACGCCTCCTATGTAAAGAGGAGCACACAACTACATCTCCTTTTTTCCTTACTGCCTCCCATGCTTCATCTTCAGATTTCTTTAATTTATCTACTTATTTAACACAGGGACTCTTTAAGAATATATTTAGCTAAGAGTCAAAATGGCATCCTTTTAGCAGGAATTTTGAGAACACATTATTTTTTTGTTTTGTTATTCGGACTTTGCTACTGCATTTTGAAGTTTCCTAAAATGGTATTGTTGGCAAAAGATGTCAACTATTGCTATGTATCAAAGATATTCTGTGATCAGATAAACTTAAGAAACACAGTCTAACATATTCTTAGTTTTCCTTAGTGTCTCAAAGCTTCTGAGAGGCTCTTCTGGGGAGTAATCTGGATAGCTTTGTTTACACTAGTATCCATCCATCCATCCATCCATCCATCCATCCATCCATCCATCCATCCCTAGCAGTTGCTTATTCATTAGGTTTGGGGAGGATCCTGAACATTGACATTTGGACGAGGTTTCCACGTGATGCTGCTATTGGCCTAGGCTAGGAAGCACAGCGTGAACACCACGGGTGTGAATAGTCTGTGTCCTAATGACCTAATGACCTTTCGCTGGGCTGGGCTCTTCACAGACAGGTGGAAAGCTTGAAGCAGAGAATTGCCGGGAAATCCATCCCTACGGAGAAGTTTGCCGTGAGGAAGTCCCGCCGTTACTCCGCCTCGTTGCCCGCACCCGTGAAGCTCGTCTTGCCTGCCCTGGTATCTATCTGCCTTTGTTTTATTTACTGTTTGTGTTCTAGAAGTAAATGGCCTATTCCTAGCAGCAGGAAGTAAGTGGTCTATTCCTAGCTTTTGTTGTGAAGTTTAGCTCCATTGAAAATCATTGTGTTGTCTGTAAGGTGAGCATTCATAATTAAATAATGAATATTACAGCTGATTTTTTTTGACAAGTTGGTATGTTCTATCCATTATGATAAGGACTATTTAAAAAATATAAAATATTTTATATAAAAATATAAATATAATATATATAAAATATATATATATATAAAATATATAAAATATTTAAATATATAAAAATTCTTACTTGATGACTCTGTAAGGGTAGGTTCTCTTTGTAGCCTATTTTATAGGTGAGGAAATCCAGGCAGAGTGGGGTGAGTTGACTTAATTGAAGCTGAGTTGAATTGTAATGCTAGCCACATAGGTCATTTTCTCTTTTCTGAGTGACCACATTAAAAATGAAAAGGTAAAATGTTAAAAAGGAAAAGGAAACATGAAAATGATGGGAAAGTTGTAGTTTGTTTAATCCTGTGTGTACAGAATGTTGTTGTTTGAGCACAGAATTGACAAAAATGTCATGAGATGCTTCCCGTTCTTCTGTGAAGTTCTGATTTTTCGGAATGTGTGTGTGTTTTCCTCCGGGAGCACATCTCCTGGGGTAGAGCATATTTTCATGACTGCGCAGTGCATGGCCCGAGCCGTAGTCCTCATGGTTAGATCACCAAGGCTAGACTTCATAAAAACCGTAATTTCAACTTAAATGTTCTCAGTGAAGACTTCTTGAAAATGTACCGGGTATCTCAAATTGCTGTGGTTCGTGAGGGCTTTAGATTTGCATAGGTAGTTAGCACAGGCAGCTGTTTAGTGCCCATTCACCTCTGCAGTCCTCTGCTTGGGTTTCCTGATGTTTAAAAATTTTTATATTTTGTGTTTCAGAGATTATTCAGTTATTCCCCTTTGAAAGTTCTTCAGGTGTTTCCCCCCCAGTTTTTACTATTACAAACATGCTACAGTTCACATTCTTTTATATTCTTCTTTTTGTCCTTGGGCATATAATTCTCTGGGAAAACTTTCGAGAAATGGAGTTCCTGGTTATAGGATATATGCATTTAGTATTTGACATTGCCAAATTGCCCTCCTTGAAAGCCCGAATCAATTTAAAATTCTACCAACAGTGTTTTACTGTTTGAATGTGTGTTTTTCTATTGGTGCAGTTGGACATGTCTATATGTGCCTACTTTTAGTACTTTCTCCTCTTGTGAACTGTTCATATAGCTCACTAATTTTTTTCATTGGGCTTTTATTGTTTGATCATTGGATTATGGGAGCTCTCTCTATCTGCCTTGAGAAAGAAAACTGTAGCCCCTACAAGGTGATAAGAGTGACCTGCATCCAGTGCCCAGGCCCGTGGGTTTCCTACTTCAGAGACAGTCTCAGGGAACACCACCCCAGTACAGGTTAGTCTGTGCCCGTGCAGGACAGGATATGACCACTCTGTATCTGAGCACAGATGGAAGTAAGAAAACCAGGAAGAGGCCCAGATATCCCACTTTCCCAGCTAATGTGGGAGCCTGCTGCTGTTTTCCCAGGGACAGCTTTTAGCTCCCTTCCTGATTCACTCCTGTCACTAATTTGTGCTTGGAAACTTTTTCTTCCTGCGTCACAGAACTTTCCTGAAAATCATCTAGAGCACAGTAGCCTTCTTGCTTCCCTAGGACTTCCATAAGCTAATTGTATCCGACCTCATTAAGGGTCTCCAGGAATGGTAACGCACCGCACTGGTTTCTCTAGAGCTAAGGCAGTATAATTGGCTGGAATTGTGGTAACTTGGCTTTCTTCTTATAAATAGTTCATCAGTAAAAACAACGACTTAAAAGATCATCATCATTAAATATGCCATTAGTTATTGGATTGAGTTGTGATGCTGTTAGCAACAAGAAACTGTTAGATGTGAAATAAAAGGCAGTTTTAGTAGTTTTCTACTAAAGTAAAGGTTGTTTTGCTGCCACTATACTCAACTGCATTTTCCTCATTTCCGCTGTTTCCCTGTAAGAGGTTGCTTAAATAATATCTTCATCATGTTTCATTTCTAAGAAATACTAATTACCCTGCTTATTTCATACCTTTAAAAATAGGAACTGCACTACCAGGAGGATTCTAAAAATATTTTCAAGCAAAAGCACATTTTGCTTTTGGTCCAAAAAAAAAAAAAAAAAAATCTCATCTGCTACCTTTTTAAATGTAATTTGCAATAAAAAATCATTCGTTTATATTTTCAAGGGCTGTCATTCAGCCATATGGCCTTCAAATGAATACATTTTCTGCATATTGGATTGCATTACTGAACTGTCACATGTTTTAATGGTATAAAAGAACCAGAACCCAGTGAAATATTTCCTATGTTCATTTCCAGTGATATCCTTGGAAACAATTTATGTAAATAATTGGCAGGTATTTTAAAATGTTTTCCCTTTACTTAAATGTAACAGCAAAGATTTATATTAAATAAAATTGCCCATAGTATCTGTTGAAAATATTATATTTATTTGCTTGGCTGGTGTGGTCAGTGCTTGAGCATTGACCCAGGAACCAGGAGATCACAGTTCTATTCTGAGGAGACATGCCCAGGTTTTGGGCTCAATTCCCAGTAAGGGATGTATAAGAGGCAGCTGATGGATTATTTTGATCAATGATGTTTCTCTTCCTCTCTCCCTCTCACTTCCTCTCTCTGAAATCAATAAAAATATTTTTTTAAAATGAAATATTTACTTTGGTATCTGTAATTGATTATTTTCCAAAATGATTGACTACCAATTAGCGCTTACTAAATATTTGTTCAATGAATGAATACGTTATTTTTTCAGTAAATATACACTATAGTATATCTATTGAATTACTTCACAGTATAAGAGACAAAGTTATATAATAAAATGAGAAAGGGAAATTATATCACTAAATTCCATATGAGATCCATAACAACTACTTTCGTAGTTTTGTTGTTGTAAAGGACATTGAATAACCCTTACATAATTGCGAATGGGTTTTCATTCCTCCCTGTTAGGAAATGATGTACATCTGGAATGGTTTTCCAACCATAAGCAAAAGAGAAGACCTCTCCGAAAATCTATTGTTAACTGTTGAAAAGGCTGAGGCAACTTTACAAAATCAAAGTGAGTATGAACCTTGAAAGCCTGGAAATCCTTACCTTTCCCTCTCCCCTGTCATGTCCCTGCTCACATCCACCTGTGCTAGTCCACGTGCATAGCGAGGACAGAAGGCTTGGGCTGCAGGCGTCTGGTGACTGCAGTGCAGGTGAAGGGAGGAATGATACACACCGCACACATGGATGAGCCCTGGGCACAAATGGCTAAGTGCAAGAAGCCAGTCGCAAAAGACTGCATGTTACATGATTCCATTCATATGAAGTAATGACAATAGGTAAATCTGTAAAGACAGAAAGTAGACCAGTGGTTGCCTAGGATGGAGAACTGGGGTGGGCAGGATAGTTAAAGAGTCTGGCATTCCTTTTTGGGGTGATGAACATGTTCTAAGATTGATTGTGGTGATGGGTGTACAACTCTAACACATGCGGAAAGTTGTGTACTTTAAGTGGGTGAATTGTATGGTATTTGCATTATATCTGAATAAATCTGTTACCAAAGGAGAGGAAGGGAAGAAGGCAGGCGAGGGCAGCACAAGGCAAGCATGCACTTGTGATTTTATTCTGTGCCTCTCGCCATGCCTGCTTTTGCTCTTCAGTGACCTTCACGCTTTTGCAGACACAGAGAGTTGTTTGTTTTGAGTTTGGATCTTATCACCATTTTATTCTTTTACTCATTACCTTTGGTGACACGAGAGGCCCCTCTCCGGTTCCCTGGAGTGTCCTCTCCTGGGAGCAGCTGGCCTGTTAGAGAAGGCAGGTCAGGGCCCAGGCTCATAGTCCTGGTTCTGCAGCTTCCAGACCCTGGAAAATCCCCTCATTACCTCCACCCTCAGGTGTGGTCAGATAATGTTTTCTTTTTAAAGCGGGAGTGATGGGGGGCCCCGATAATATCCGCGTTCTGCCCTTTTCTAACTGTCTGTCTTCAATAGGGGATTTCTCTTTAGATAAACCATGCTATAAGTGGTAGCCTTGCCTGACCAATCCCCCAAGATAATGATTTTATCCTCTGGAGTAAAATGAAAACGTCTGTGGTGATAAGCATAAGAAAGGGCATGGAATTCAGGAGGAGGCAGCCAGAGTCAGAGCGGTGAGCTCATTTCTCTTAACGCGTCCAGGACGCGCTGGGGAGCTCTGGCCTCCACTCAGCACACTCCCCGAGGGGCTTGCACCCTGAGGTTGGCTTTGTACTTGGAGCTGCAGCCCGAGGCTAAAATGTTTAGTGAGATTGCACTTTACAGTTGTTAAAAATGAAACACATTATCATAATTGATAGAAGCAGGTGAAAAAAGTATCTGTATTTTTGCTACAACACAATTAATTTGCAATTTTTGTATCGTCCATCCTACCTGGTTTTTATAGTTGCAACCATAATGTACCTAAATATATGATAGCCTTGTTTCTTAAATTTAATATAACTTTTAAACTTTTTTAAACTTTTTAAAACTTTTTTAAACTTAAAGTTTTTTAAACTTTTTTAAACTTTTTTTTTTAAATTAGGTACAGTTGACATAATCATTTTAGGTGTATAGTAGTTTAGCATAATAATTCAATATCTGTATACATTGCAAGATTATCATCACAATAAGTCTAGTTAATATCAGTTACCATACAGAGCTACACATATCTTTTAAGATTTCTCACTTAGCAACTTTCATATATTCAGTAGAGTAATATTAGCTATAGTCGCCATGCTGTATGTTACATTCCTGGGACTTACGTATTTTATAAATAGAACTTTGTGCCTTTGGCCCTCTTCACACATTATGCTCGCCCAGCTCCCAACCCCTGACCTCTGGCTACCACCAGTCTGTTTTCTGTATCTAATCAGCATTGTGGCATGGGTGGTGTTTTGATTTTTTTTTTAAGATTCTACATATAAGTAAGATCATACAGTATTTGTCTTTATCTGATTTATTTCACGTAGCATAATACCTTCGAGGTCTATCTATCTTGTTGCATAGCAAGATTTAATTCTTTTTTATGGCTGAATAATATTCTATTGTGTGTGTGTGTGTGTGTGTGTGTGTGTGTGTGTGTGTGTGTGTGTGTACATATGTTCTTGCCTCTGTGGGTGTGTGTGTGTGACATTTTCTTTATTGACACAGATTATTCCCATGTCTTCATCAATGGACACAGATTATTCCCATATTTTAGCTGTTATAAATGATGCAATGAACATGGAGTCATATATCTCTTTGATTTAGTGTTTTCGTTGTCATTTTTTAATTGAACTTATGGGGGTGACATTGGTTAATTTATATAAATACCAGGTGTACAATTCTATAATACATAATCTGTATATTGTATTGTGTTCACCACCCTAAGCTACTAAGCCTCCTTCCGTCACCATTGATATCCCATCCTCTCTTCTACCTCCCTCCACACCCCTTTCCCTCTGGTGAGCACCATACTCTTACCTGTGTCCATGAGGTTTGGTTTTGTTTTGCTTAACCCATTCACCTTTTTCTCCCAGCTTCCTCCACTCTGACAGCTGCCAGCCTCTTCTCTATCTGTAAGTCTGTTTCTATTTTGTTTGTTATTAATAGATTACTTGTTCATTAGATACCACATGAGTGAAGTCATATGTGTTTGTTTTTCTCTGACTGGCTTATTTCTGTTACGCCCAGACTTCGTGATCCCCAAGGACCACCAGGGAGCTGAGTCCGATGCAATAAACAAAAGAGCCTTTTCCATGCTAGCATAGGCCCCCCCACTCACGCCGGCAGCATGGCGGAAGAGAGTGAATTTCTTCCAGTCCAGGGGTTTGACTCCGGTCGATGGTGATGTCACTGCCTCGGCTAACCCAGATTGGTTGGGTGAGGGCTAGGGATAACTCCGCCCTGCGGGGCGGAGTCAGGAACTCATCCTTGCCCCGCCCTGCCTTCTCAATTTCACTTAGCATATTGTTCTTTGGTCCATCCATGCTGTTGCAAAGGGTAAGATTTCCTTTTTTTTTTTTTTACATCCATTGTGTGCCAGTAAATGTACCTCAGCTGTTTTATCCACTCATGTACTGATGGGCACTTAGGCTATTTCCAAATCTTGGCTATTGTAAATAACATTGCAACAAACACAGGGGTGCATATATTCTTTTGAATTAGTGTTTCAGGTTTCTTCGAATATATTCCCAGAAGTGGAATCACTGGATCATACGGAGTTCCATTTTTAACTCCATATTGTTCTCCACAGTGGCTGCACCAGTCATTCCCACCAGCAGTGCATGAGGGTCCCCTTTTCTCCACATCCTCTTCACCACTTGTTGTTTGGTGATTTATTGATGATAGCCATTCTGATAGGTGTGAGGTGATATCTCATTGTGATTTTAATTTGCATTTCTCTAATGCTTAGTGAGGTTAGAGCATCTTTTCAAATGTTTACTAGCCTTCCGTATGTCCTCTGGAATAAGTGTCATTTCAGGTCCTTTGCCCATTTTCCAATTGTATTATGGTTGTTTTTTTGGTTTGAGTTTTAAAAGTTCTTTATAAATTTTGAATATTAGCCCCTTATCAAATGTATCATTGATGAATATGTTCTCCCATTCAGTGGATTGTCTTTTCATTTTGCTGATGATTACCTTTGCTATGCAAAAATTTGATTATTTTTCCTTTTGTTTCTCTTTCCTGACGGCCATATATGACAAACACACAGCCAACATCGTATTAGATGGGCAAAAACTACAAGTGTTTCTCTTAAGATTGGGAATACAACAGGGATGTCTGCTTTCACCACTCTTATTCAACATAGTACTGAAAGTTCTACCACAACAACCAGACAAAAAACAACAACATTCTGACATATATCAGAAAAAATATATATGAGAAATGTTTGAGATTTTACTGCCTATGTTTTCTTCTAGGATTTTTATGGTTTCCAGTCTAACTTTTAAGTCTTTAATTCATTTTGAGTTTATTCTTGTATATGGTATAAGAAGATGGTGTAGTTTCATTGTTTTGCATGTATCTGTCTAATTTTCCCAGCACCGTTTATTAAATAGACTATCTCTACCCCATTGTTTGTTTTCCCATTTTTTTGTCAAATAGTAATTCACTATAAAGGTGTGGGTTTCTTTCTGGGCTCTCTATATGTCGTTTTTATGCTAGTACCAGGCTGTGGCCTAATAGCATAGTTTGATATCAAGTAGCGTGATTCCTCCCACTTCATTCTTCTTCCTCAAGATTGCTGGGCTATTTGGGATCTTTTGTGGCTACATATAAACTTTTGGAATATTTGTTCTAGTTCTGAGAAATATGCCATTGTTATCTTGATGGGAATTATATTGAATCTATAGATTGCTTTGGGTAGTATGGGCATTTTAAGTATGTTAATTCTTCCTATCTATAAACACAGTATATGCTTCCACTTATTTGTATATATTTCCTTTTTTTGTTTTTTCTTCAGTGTCTTATAATTTTCTGAACAAAGGTCTTTTACATTTTTGGCTAAAATTTTTCCTATGTATTTTTTTTAAAAGCAATTGTGAATGGGGTTGTTTTCTTAGTTTCCCTTTCTGGTATAAAAATGCAACTGACTTCTGGGTATTTGTTTTGTATCCTGCTACTTTACTGAATTCATTGATCAGTTCTGATAGTTTTTTGGTGGAATCAATAGGAATTTCTAGATACAATATCATGTTATCTGCACAGAATGACAGTTCTGCTTCTTCCTTTCCAGTTTGGATGCCTTTTATTTCTTCTTCTTGTCTGGTTGTTGTGGTAGAACTTTCAGTACTATGTTGAATAAGAGTGGTGAAAGCAGACATCCCTGTTGTATTCCCAATCTTAAGAGAAACACTTGTAGTTTTTGCCCATCTAATACGATGTTGGCTGTGTGTTTGTCATATATGACCTTTATTACATTGAGGTACATCCCCTCTATTTCCACTTTTCTGAGAGTTATTTTCATAAATGAGTGTTGATTTTATCAAATGCTTTCTCTGCATCTATTGATATGATCATGTGTTTTTTATCCTTCAATTTGTTTATATGGCATATCATGTTTATTGCTTTC